CCGGTTGGCCCAGAGAGGTGGTAGAAGCCTCATCCCTGGAAATATTTGAGGTCAGGTGGGACAGGGCTCTGAGCACCCTGCTCTAGCTGCAGATGTCCCTGTCCCTGCAGGGGTGGGACTGGGTGAGTTTGAAAGGTCCCTTCCCACCCAAACCAATCTGGGATTCAGGGATTCTGGAGCCCAGCCCTGCTCAGCTGTCCCCCCAGCCATCTCACCCAGCCTACACCTCTGGTGTTTGAACTCCTAAGGGGACCTTTTCTGGATGAATCTCAAAAAAAACCCCACCCTGTTATTGGGGTAAATAATTCCAGAATTCATTCCTTAAATTAGAGAAACTAATTAATTAGAGAAACTGCAGGGCTAGTCCTCTGCTGTGCACTACCTTAAATATACACACACTGAGACAGTCCAGAGCCCTGCTGAGGTACCTGGGACGAGCTGCAGGCAGCTCATGCCTCTTGCTTCTGCACCCAGGCCTCAGGAGATGGGTGAGCTGGTGCAGAGCTCTGTGCTGAAGGGCAACCTCCTGAAGGTCAAGCTTCAGTGCAGGGTCTCAGCAAGGTGGCCACCAGTGAGGAGTAGCCCCACAGGAGCCACCTTTGCCATCAGCTCATCACAACCCTGGCTGTTCTCCTGCCAGGCAGGTGGGGTGCTAAAGAGGAACCCCTGATGATAGTAGTAGGTAGATTTTAGGAATAGTAGTGGTTAACCCAGGGTCAGGTTTGGGCTCCTCCTTACCAGAAGGAGCTTGAGGGGCTGGAGCGGGGCCAGAGAAGGGCAACGGAGCTGCTGGGGAAGGGTCTAGAGGCCAAGTGTGGGGAGGAGCAGCTGAGGGAGCTGGGGGTGCGGAGCCTGGAGCAAAGGAGGCTCAGGGGAGACCTTCTGGCTCTGCACAGCTCCTGACAGGAGCCTGGAGCCAGGGGGGGGTCGGGCTCTGCTCCCAAGGGACAACAGGACAAGAGGAAAGGGCCTCAAGTTGCCCCAGGGGAGGTTTCAGTTGTCCCTGAGGAACAATTTCTTGCCCTGGAGGGTTGCCCAGGGCTGTGCCAGGCTGCCCAGGGCAGTGGTGGAGTCCCCACCCCTGGAGGGGTTTCCAAGCCGTGGAGATGTGGGGTGAGGGACACGGGGCAGTGGGGACCTGGCAGGGCTGGGGGAAGGGTTGGACTCCAGGATCTTAAAGGTCTCTTCCAACCCAAACAATTCTATGACAGAAGCCACTTGAGGGGGGGGTGTTTCCCCTCTCCTTCATCCCCAAAACACCTTCATTTGAGCTGCCCAAATGAAAACCAGAGACCCTGAGACCAAAACTCAACAGCTGAAGCTTCTGGTTCCGTGGGAGCAGTTCCAAGGGGAGAGGAAGGTTATTTGGGCTGCTGGGAGGGGTCTGACCACCACTGACACCCTCTGTCCTTCCCCAGGCATGGGTCAGCAAAGCGAAGCCGCCTTCGCCCCGTCGCTCAGCCCCAGCAGCCCCCTGATGTCCCCTCAGCTGCCCCCCTCCCAGAGCCCCATGCTGCAGCCAGCCCCCCCAGCCCCCGGCTACCAGTCGCCCGACATGAAGACCTGGCAGCAAGGAGCCCTGGGGAACAGCAAGTAAGAGCCTGGTGGGGACAACCTGGAGCCCACGGGGTGACACAGGCAGAGGGGGTGACACCTTGGTTGGGTGCTGGGGGGGTGTCCCCTGGCCGAGGACACGTGCTGGGCTCGGGGTGTGTTCTCCTGCTCTGATGGCCTCCAGAGGTTCACCCCTCCACCCAAGTCCTCGTCTGCAGCTCGGCTCAGATGTTCAAATGAAGGAGTGTTGAGGCAGAGCTGAAGCAGGTCTTTGGATTTTAATTAAATGAGGGGGTTAATGAGGTCTGGGGAAGGTGGGGTTGGGAAGCGTGACATTAAATTGAGACCAGAGCAGCAGTCCCAGTGGGACCCTCTTGAGATGCCTCCAGCTCTGACCTGGGGAGGAGTCACCCACAAAAACTTGTTGCCTTTTTTTTGCATGCCTCACCTTTGAGCTTCAGATCTCCAGAAATGGGGGGGAAAAAAGAAACCCAACCCCAAAATCTCACCCGGGCAGTGCCTTGCTCTGCATCTCAGACCATCTGGTGGGATGGGGGCTCTGCTGGAGCTGGGATCCTTCAGCTGGCCCCGGGGTGGAGAGCTGTCCTCCTGCCTGGAGCAGAATTGGGGTGGTTGAGGTGTGAATTTGGTGTCACAGAGACCAGGGCTTTGCATCTGGGGATGAGCTTTGGAGCAGGAGCTGCTGGGACAGGACAAGGGGGGAGGGTTGGAAACTCCAAGAGGGAGATTGAGACTGGAGAGAAGGAAGAAATTGTTGCTGCTGAGGGTGTTGAGCCCCTGTCCCAGGCTGCCCAGAGAGGTGGTCGCTGCCCCATCCCTGGCACCATCCCAGGGGAGGTTGGATGAGCTCTGAGCACCCTGCTCTAGCTGCAGATGTCCCTGCTCAGGGCAGGGGGGTTGGACTCGATGCCTCTGCCATCCCCTTTCCCACCCAAATCATTCTGTGGGTCTGATTCAGTGCCTGAGTGACCCTTGAACCCAGCCCAGAGCCCTGTACCAACCCCTCTCTTGGCACTGGAGTCTCTCCTGCTCTGTCCCATCCCATGGAGGAGCCTCTGCTGAAGCTGCCATCACAGCTTGGGCCACACCAGGAGCTGGGCACACGCCTTGAGGTTCCTCTCACCACTGTGGGCACCTGAGTGATGGGTTTTTCCTTCTCTTGCCAGCGTTTTCAGCCAAGCAGGGCAGAGCCAGCCAGCCCCTGCTCAGCAGGGCGTGTACAACAACATGAGCATCACGGTCTCCATGGCAGGAGGCAACACCAACGTCCAGAACATGAACCCCATGGCTGGACAGATGCAGATGAACTCGCTGCAGATGCCCGGGATGAACTCCATGTGCTCAGAGCAGGTCAGTTCCCTGCTCCCAGGAGGGTCACTCACCTCCCAGAGGTTCCACATCTGCTCTTCTGGTTCCTGGTGGTGCAGCAAAGGTCCACCTGTCTCCCTTGGCATTGCTGCTGTGCTGGAGCCCAAGGCCACCAGCACCCCAGAGCGTCCTCTCTGTGTCCTTTTTGGGGTGCAGGGTTGTGCTGAGCATCTCCAGAACCTTGTGGTGGGCTGGCAGTGGGTTGGTTTGCTCATCCCAGGGAGCTGGGGAAGGAGAAGAAGGGTTAGATACGGGACCTTTCCACAGGCAGCATCCTCCCTTGGGCCAGACTGAGATGCCTCCAACATTTTTAGGGTTTCTCAGCACCACTGAGCTCCCAGCTCGTTGGGTTTGTGTAGAAGCTGGTGAGGAAGGTGCCCGGTCCCTGCTGTGGTGGGTCCCTCCTGCCCCTCTCGGGGGGGGGGCAGCTGGGTGGCATCTCACACTCCTGGGGGCCAAACACCCCCAGGGGTCAGCAGCAGCCCCAGGCACAGGTCAAGAGGTGGGGAGAGCCCCCCGTGGCCCCCGGGATCCTCCACTGAGCCCAGCTCTTGCTTTTGACAGGTAAATGACCCGGCGCTGAGACCCGCGGGGCTTTACTGCAACCAGCTCTCCTCCTCTGACCTTTTGAAACCAGAAGCAGACGGGGCGCAGGTCAGTAAGACACTGCTAAACACATCTCAGGTACCCCGAGGAGTCTGACGGGTTCCCCCTGCCCCCGCCACGTTCCGTTCCTCACCGGGGGGCCAGCCCTGCTTTGGCAGGGTCAGGTCGAAGCCACGGGGGTCCCGTTGGGGGACGACCAACCCTCGGGGCACTGCTGTGGGCATGGAAGAGCTGGAAGAGGCACCGAGGGTCTGGGGTCCTTGGCCTGGCCCCGTGAGGGCTCTTTCCTAGGACAGGCCGGAGCCGCCGACGGGCCCGTTCGGAGGAGATCTGGATGGGGAGGGGGGGTGAGGCTCTGGTACCAGCACTGCCCGTCCCGCTGAGCGCCAGCCAAAACGTGCCCGGGCACCCAACGGATCCAGTTTGGCCCCAGTTTGGCCCCAGTTTGGCCCTGGTTCAGCCCCAGCTCGTCCCACGCCCGCCGGCGTCTCCCCCTTCCCCGTTCCGCAGAGCCCGTAGGGACGCGCCGAGATGCTGGAGCTGGGAGCTTGGATCTGGGAGCTTGGA